ATATGTAGACATAGTGAGACTTGCACAAATGACATAATGAGCACATGTGACATGGTGTGTGTGGACAGCACAATGCACAAAGGAGGCACCAACAGTCCCACACAGGTGAGAATGTAAACACATGACTAAATTTTTTGTAGGAAGTGCAGAGCTGCTCTTATGAGATTGTAGGAATGTAGATTTGGGCATGTCGGTAGCCCCAATGGCCAATGCAACAAGTGATGCAACCCCAATAGTGGCAGGATGCTCAAGACAACACCTAGTGGCTACCCCACATGGACGATGGTCACCCACAAGTGGTAATGGCTTAAAGGGCCCTCACAATTTATATAGACTGGTTAGACTATTAGAAAAGGATGATGAACCTCTTTTGAGTTCACCTCTTTAGTGTTCTCTATCTATGCAAAGATGAGTGGAAGGCATTAGGGAAATAAGGGGATACCTCAGCACCTACACCTAGGCTTAGGTGTAACATATGCTAGTTGGTATTGTGTCCTCAAATCTGATTCTTAATTATTGATTGTATTTACTACCTAACAAGCATTTATGATGTGCTTAGTCACCTCATGAGCAACTACGGTGTGTTTGGTCACCTAATGAACACATGGTGTACTTAGTCACTCCTCAAACACATGATATACTTAGTCACATCTAAGATATTTTGATGTACTTTGTCACTTGACAAACACGTGATGTGGTTATCACCTCTTAAATATTAATGATTTACTTGACAATTAGACTAACTCCTTTAGCAAGCTTAACAATTGTAAAAGTACATGTGATGTGTTCTACAACTGTTGGAGCATTATAGGTCTACCTAACTCCACAAGCACCTACGAAGTGTTAGGAATGGAATGAGTGATTGTGTTAAGCTCAATAATATGTGAGGGCTGCTAGAACTATGATTTTTGACATATATTCATTCACTTGATAAATCTATGATGTAATGGAAAATTGATTCTAAAAGTTGATTGTAAGTGCAAGTGATGATTAGTGAAATCAGAGTAAGATTAATTTGGGAAGTGGACATAAGCTTTAGCACACTATGCTATTGTAAAATATTTTATTGACTATTCATATAACTTTCTCAATGATTAATTATAAGTAAATTATATTTAAGGAACTTTCATAAATACGTATGAGAAAGGGAGGGTCAAGAGAGGCTGCTCTTAGTATCCTAGTTTTCATTGTTTTTTCTTGCATTGCTATTTTTTATCCTTGCATGAAAATGGTGTCCCATATTTTGTTCCTTCTTTGATTGAGGATGGACGGACCCACCCCAAGCTGACTATTAGGGCCGGTGAAACACTCCGCCTAAGGAGTACGGTTGCAAGACTGAAACTCCACCAAGACATATAAGGAAAACTAACAAAATTGATTATCCTTATAAAATTACAATTATTAAGGAATATATTCAGTGCCCTTTTATCTCCATTCACAATTAAACTATCTAGGGCCCTTCACTTTCAATTTGTCATAGACAAATGTTGTATTGACATCAAGCTGCTTGAAGACAAGATTCTCTATGGCTATAATACTTAGCACCAAGCTCACCATAGTGAATTCCACAACAAGAGAAAAGATTTCAATATAGTCTACATATCATTGTTAAAACTCCTTCATAACCAAGATTATTTTGTTTTTGATTGTTGTCATCAAACTCTTCCTTGATGACTGATAAGTCTTCATTATCATGAGTTAATAATTAATAAATAATATAATTTTAGCCTTAACTCATGATAAATAGACTTATATTTGTGTTAAAGAATGATTTGTAGTTTTCAGTTGATTAATGTGAATTTTTGGGTAATTATGTGATTTTATACGATTTTTACAATCTTACTTTTGAGATAAATGAAGAATAAGAAATAAAAATAAAAATATTGCAAAATGGGGTACCCACCAGCCAGCCAAGCATGCAAGCAGGTCGGAAGCGTAGTTAGAGAGTAGTCGTGAACATGGGCTCGAGCAGCTTAGCTTGGACCGATAGGGGCACGTGTACGCCACTCTCCTTCCACGTCACTAGTGGCCAGCCGACTGTGGGGCAAGGAGTGGTTGTACACGCGAGAGAAGAGACTTTGCTTAGAAAGCTAACATTACTATATATTTGCCCGAAAAATCAGCACACAACTGATGTGGGACTAGTGCGGGTTCGAATCGTCCCAGAGTCAAAATTCATATATTTTTATCTGATTATCGCGACTTTCTTAGAGATCACCAGTGAAGGATTAAGCAACGAGAATTGCTGGATCATCGGCAAAAATCTCGTCAACGCAATTTGCAGAGCATTGCTACTAAAACTGTTGAATGATTCGTGATAAAAGGATCACGAATCCATCGAGTAAATCATCTCCGATTGATTAACAAACAAGCCATCGTCAGGAAGAGGACGATCCGTCAGGAGACGAGTTGCCACCTCCTGAGAGCATACTGGATGCGATGAAGAGCCTCCTCTTGCTACGCGGACCTAAGGATGAAGCTCCCTAACATGCGCCCCACCTCCATCTAGCTCCTCTCCGTCGGGTGACAGTCACCAGAGAGCCACAAAGTCGTCATTTTTCTGCTCCGCCAAGTGATAGCCACCAGAGATGATTTGACGACCCACTTCATTGATCTCTAGACTTCGCGAGAAGATCTAGAGATTGCCCACGTTGTCTTTGTCCAAGGAGAGCCTTCAAGGCCATGGACACTACACAATGATCTTCCCAAACGCTTAGGATTCTGGTGCATCATCGACGCATCGCCGTCGTGATGCCAGAACACTATTTTCCTACTTTCAATTTACTTTACGTTTCATTTAGTGATAATTTGTGTTTTTTAATTTACCAAAGTATACTTTGTTCAATTACGATTCTTTCGGCTTTTACAGATCTTAATTTGATCAATTAAATCATTTGTAATCGCTTACGTAAGAATCGCCAAGTGGAACTCTATTCCTGCCTGATTTGCGCTCGCCAGGCGCAAATGTCATCCTAACTTTTTCCCTCGAATTTATTGATTTTTATGCACGGTAGAAGATTGATAAGTCTTCATTATCATGAGTTAATAATTAGTAAATAATATAGTTTTAGCCTTAACTTATGATAAATAGACTTATATTTATGTTAAAGAATGATTTGTGGTTTTCAGTTGATTAATGTGAATTTTTGGGTAATTATGTGATTTTATATGATTTTTACAGTCTTACTTTTGAGATAAATGAAGAACAAGAAATAAAAATAAAAAATATTGCAAAATGGGGGGACCTACCGGCCAGCCGGGCCCGCAAGCAGGTCGGAAGTGCAGTCGAGAGTAGCCGTGAGCAAGGGCTCGAGCAACTTAGCTTGGACCGATAGGGGCACGTGTGCGCCACTCCCCTTCCACGTCACCAATGGCCAGCCGGCTGTGGGGCAAGGAGTGGTTGTACACGCGAGAAAAGAGACTTTGCTTGCAAAGCTAATATTACTATATATTCGCCTGAAAAATCGGCACACAACCGATGTGGGACTAAACCCGCGTCACACCTTCCTCACAGGCAAGTGACTGGCGCGGGTTCAAATCCTTCCAGAGTCAAAATTCATATATTTTTATCTGATTATCGCGACTTTCCTGCAGATCGTCAATGAAGGATTAAGCAACGAGAATCGCTGGATCATCGGCAAAAATCTCGTCAACGCGATTCGTAGAGCATTGCTACTAAAATTGCTGAACGATTTGTGATAAAAAGATCACGAATTCATCAAGTAAATCATCTTTGATTGATCGACGAACAAGCCATCGTCAGGAAGAGGACGATCCACTGGGAGATGAGTTGCCACTTCATAAGAGCGTACCGGATGCGATGAAGAGCCTCCTCTTGCTACGTGGACTTGAGGATGAAGCTCCCTGACATTCGCCCAACCTCCATCCAGCTCCTCTCCGTCAGGTGACAGCTGCTAGAGAGCCACAAAGTCGCTGTTTTTTCCGCTCCACCCAGTGACAGTCGCCGAAGACGACTCGATGACCCATTTCATTAATCTCTAGACTTCGCGAGAAGATCTAGAGATTGCCCACGTCGTCTTTGTTCAAAGAGAGCCTTCGAGGCCGTGGACACTGCGTGACGATCTTCTCGAACACTCTGGATTCTGGTGCATCATTGACGCATCGCCGTCGCGACACTAGAACTTTGTTTTCCTGCTTTCAATTTAATTTAAACTTCATTTAGTGATACTTTGTGTGATTTTAATTTACCAAACTATACTTCGTTCAATTACAATTCTTCTAGTTTTTACAGATTTTAATTTGATTAATTAAATCATCTGTAATCACTTACGTAAGAATTGTCAGGTGGAAATAGAGTTTCGCCCGATTCGCATTCGCCGAGCGTTGATGTCATCCTAACATCCGCACCCTTATTTCCTTTTTTTTCGTGAATTTTAAATATATTTCCTTTTCATTTCCTGGTATGAAATTCATAGAAAATTGTATTCACTGAGAAAAAATTTGAATAATTACAAAATATTATATTACATCCCTGTGATCAACTTGGGAAATTACCACTATTTTTCAAAGTTTTATTGAATTATAATTGATATATTTATTTAGAAATACTTCTAAATATCCAAAAATTTGTATTTTCTAGTTTTATAAATTTTATATTTGCGTGATTTAATATACAACGGCTAAATCACGTCAAATTTTGGTGCCGTTGCCGGGGATGTATTGCATAATATTTAGTACTTTTCTGCTTTTCTTTTAGAGTACACAAAAAAAAAACTTAACTCTTGTTTTATTTTCTTTTTTGCCAATTTTTATTAGAAAAAGTGAACGAAAAGAAGCACGGCAAGGACTGGAGCATCCTGAAGGAGGGTAATAGTTACTAACTTTTTCTCTCAAATTTATTGATTTTTATGTATGGTAGAAGATCCTTGTATCCAAGGCTAAAAAATCATTTCATTATTTCATTCAAAAATAAAAATCTGAAAGAAAAATTAATTTTGATGGATCCTAAAGGAAGTACAAGTCAAACTAAGAACAATCTTATGGCCATGAAAAATCATTATATCCTTGATTCATTTCAAAGAGCATCTAATATTAGAGTCCCATTAGCACCCACTGTTAAATTCGAAATAAATCTAGAAATTTTTCAAATGCTCCCTAATTTTCATAGATTGCCTTTAGAGAAACCTCATCAACACTTAGAAAAATTTCATATGGTCTGTGATTTAGTTAATCTCCTTCAAGTTACACTAGAAATTATTAAGATGAAATTATTTCCTCATACACTTAGGGACAAAGCTAGTCATTGGCTATCCACATTAGATAGAGAATTAACTAGCTGAAAAGATATAGAATAGCCTTTCTTCGAAAATTTTATCTCTTAAGAAAAACTCAAAATATAAGAAAACATATATAGAGTTTTTCTTAAAGACTAGGAGAAACTTTGCATGAGACATAGGAAAAATTTAAAGATTTACTTAGAAAGTGTCCTCATCATGCTATACCCAAGTGGCAGCTCAATAGAATTTTTTATGATGGATTATTAGAACAACATAGAAATATAATTGATTATATATGTGGAGGAGCTTTTATGAAGAAAACTCCTGATGAGATTTACAATCTTTATGAGAATTTAAGTGAAAATTCTAGAGATCAAGCCTCTTTTGAATTATATGACAAGGATAAGAAGAGAGGAATTTATGAATTGCATTATGATGATGATTCTAAACTTATAAAAGAGGTTAATTAGATTAATCAAAGATTAGAAAAAATTAATTTACTTATTGACAATATTAGAAAGCCTTTTAACCCTTAACTTAATTCGAATAGTACATGTCCTATGTATGGTGAAAATGATTATTCTGAATTTCAATATTATAATTTAGATCAATCATTTTACCCAATGCAAGAACAAGTACAAGTAGCTCACGGTTTTAATAGAAACAGGGAATTGATAAGTCTTCATTATCATGAGTTAATAATTAGTAAATAATATAGTTTTAGCCTTAACTCATGATAAATAGACTTATATTTGTGTTAAAGCATGAAAAGTGGTTTTCAGTTGATTAACGTGAATTTTTGGGTAATTATGTGATTTTATACGATTTTTACAGTCTTAGTTTTGAGATAAACGAAGAACAAGAAATAAAAATAAAAATATTGCAAAATGGGGAGATCCGCCGGCCAGCCGGGCCCGCAAGCGGGTCGGAAGCGCAGTCGGGGAGTAGCCGCGAGCAGGGGCTCGAGCGGCATGCTTGGATCGATAGGGACACGTGTGCGCCACTCCCCTCCACGTCTCCGGTGGTCAGCCAGCTGTGGGGCAAGGAGTGGTCGTACATGCGAGAGGATTTTGCCTATAAAGCTAACTTTACTATATATTCGCCCAAATAATCCGCGCACAACCGATGTGGGACTAAACCCTCGTCACACCTTGTTCAGGGGCGGGCGACCGCCGCGGGTTCGAATCCTCCCAGAGTCAAAATTCATATATTTTTAACTGATTATCGCGACTTTCTTGCAGATCGCCGGTGAAGGATTAAGCAACCGGAATCGCTGGATCATCGGCGAAAATCTCGTCAACGCAATTCTCGGAGCATTGCTACTAAAATTTCTGAACGATTCGCGATAAAAGGATCGCAATCCATCGAGTAAATCATCTCCGATTGATCGACGAACAAGCCGTCGTCGAGAAGAGGACGATCCGCCGGGAGACTAGTCGCCACCTCCTGAGAGCGTACCAGATGCGATGAAGAGCCTCCTCTTGCTGCGCGGACCTGAGGATGAAGCTCCCTAACACGCGCCTCACCTCCATCCAGCCCCTCTCCGTCGGGTGACAGCCGCCGGAGAGCCGCAAAGTCGCCGTTTTTCCGCTCCGCCGGGTGACAGCCGCCGGAGACGATTCGACGACCCACTTCATTAGTCTCTAGACTTCGCGAGAAGATCTAGAGATTGCCCACGTCGTCTTTGTCCAAGGAGAGCCTTCGAGGCCGTGGACACTGCACGACGACCCTCCCGAACGCTCAGGATTCCGGTGCATCGCCGACGCGTCGCCGTCGCGACGCCGGAACTCTATTTTCCTGCTTTATCTAGAGATTGCCCACGTCGTCTTTGTCCAAGGAGAGCCTTCGAGGCCGTGGACACTGCACAACGATCCTCCCGAACGCTCAGGATTCCGGTGCATCGCCGACGCATCGCCGTTGCGACACCGGAACTCTGTTTTCCTGCTTTCAATTTAATTTACGCTTCATTTAGTGATACTTTGTTGATTTTTATTTACCAAACTATACTTCGTTCAACTACGATTCTTCCGGCTTTTACAGATCTTAATTTAATTAATTGAGTCGTCTGTAATTGCCTACGTAAGAATCGCCGGGCGGAACTCTGTTTCCGCCTGATTCGCGTTCGCCGGGCGCTGACGTCATCCTGACGTCCGCACCCTTATTTCCTCTTTTTTTTTGTGAATTTTAAATATATTTCCTTTTTATTTCCTAGTATAAAATTCGTAAGAAAATCGTACTCATTGAGAAAAATTCTGAATAATTACCAGATATTATATTACATTCCTGTGATCGACCTGGAAAATTACCACTATTTTTGGGATTTTTATTGAATTATAATTGATATATTTATTTTGAAATACTTCTAAATATCTGAAAATTCGTATTTTCTAGTTTTATAAATTTTATATTTGCGTGATTTAATATACAACGACTGAGTCACGTCAGGAACCTTTTTCAAATTCTTATAATCCTAATTGAATGAATAATTTTTCATGGAGAGACCCAAATAATATTTAAAATTCAGAAGCACTTAGACCTAATTCAAATTCTGAATTTCGTCCAAAATAAGAAAACAGATTTCAGAAAAATCAGTCCTCTCAAACCCAACCTGATGCTATAGAAATGATGTAGCAAATGAGCCAAATGATGCAACAAACTATGAATCAAATGATGCAACAAACTATGAATCAAATGATGCAGCACTAGAAACAAATTATAGAGGCCCTTGGGAATAAGAGAGAAGAGGGACAACTACCAAGTCAGCCCATAGAAAATCCAGGGAACCGCCCAACAATAGGATTTCAACAAGGGGAGTCTAGTAGCATGAATCTAGAAAAAAACCCATGAAATGAAAATGTTAGAACAGTGAATGCATTAAAGAGTGGTAAGATCTTACTTGATCCTTATCCCCAAATATTAGAAGAAAAAGAAAACGTGGACAACCCCAAAACAAAATCAAATAGGAGTGGAAGAGGATTTTATAGATTCTATTAAGGAAATTTCGAAAGAGAGGACAACCATTCTATTTCCTAAAGCTTTAGAGCCTAGACAAAGAAAGAAAAAGGAACACAATGAAGAAATAAAGAAAATTTTCCAAGATGTGCAAATTAGTCTTCCTTTACTCACTACCATTGAATATATTCCTGAATATGCTAGAGTTTTGAAAGAAATGTGTACACCAAAAAAGGCACCTAGAGTAGAAAAATTATCTATACATGCTAGTGCATTATTATTAAATCAATTATCATTTAAATTGAGAGATATAGGTGCCTCTTTAATTTCGTGTGATATTAGTTGATTCATTTTTGAGAATGCATTACTTGACACCAGTGCTAGTATTAATTTATTACCTACAAGTATTTGTGATAAATTTAATATTTCTGATCTTAAACCTTCTATTGTTACCTTACAATTTTTTGATAGATCCATAAAACATTTTAAAGGTATTTTAGAAAATGTGATAGTGACACTTAAAGGGTGTAAATTTCCAGCTGATTTTGTAGTGTTGGAAATAAATTTTAATGGATAGTTTTATGATACACCAATCATCCTAGGGAGACCATTTTTGCATACAGCAAAGATGAATATTGATTTTCCCACAGGTATTGCGAAAATTTCATGTGGAGATCAATCAGTAGAAATTAAAATTTTTGAGGTATCAAATGATCTTAAGAAATCCCAAGTATATGATTCTCATACCATAGATCTTCTAGATGATTTTGATGATCCAGATGTTATTGATGACTATGTGCTAGAAGAACTAGAGGAAATAGAAAATATAAATTTAGAAGAAAAGAAAGAGGAAGATCATCTGAATTTAGAATTGAAACCTCTTCCCTCTAGTTTAAAATTTATGTTTTTAGAGGAAAATAATTCATTTCCTATTATTATTGCAACTGATTTGAGTGATGAACAGGAAGAAGAATTATTAGATGTACTTTAAAAAAATAAGAAGGCTATGGGCTGGAAAATGGACGATCTAAGGGGCATTGATATGAGAGTATGCATACATAGTATATATTTAGATGAAGGGGCTAGAACTACCAAGGAACCACAACAAAGATTAAATCCTAACATGATGGAAATTATAAAAAAAGAAATTTTAAAGTGGCTGGATGCTGATATTATTTATCCTATTTCAAATAGCAAATGGGTTGGTCCTACACAAGTAGTGCCAAAAAAATCAGGGATCACGATTATAAAAAATGAAAAAGGGGATGAAATACAAACAAGACTAACTACCGGTTGGAGAGTTTGTATTGATTATAGAAAATTAAATTCAGTTACTAGAAAAGATCATTTTCCCCTACCATTTACTGATCAAATTCTAGAAAAATTAGCTGGAAAAAACTTTTTTTATTTTCTAGATGGATACTCTAGTTATAATCAAATTTATCTAAACCCTTTAGATCAAGAAAAAGCAACTTTCACTTGTCCATTTGGTACTTTTACTTTTAAATGCATGCCTTTTGGTCCGTGTAATGCTTCAACCACATTTCAAAGATGTATGTTGTTTATTTTTTTTGATATGATTGGAAAATGCATGGAAATTTTTATGGATAATTTTTATATTTTTGGTGAATCATTTGATGAATGCTTAAATCATTTACAGCATGTACTTGAGAAATGCATAGAGAAAAAATTAGTTTTGAGTTGGGGGAAATCATATTTTATGGTTAAAGAGGGAGTTGTGTTGAGTCATATTGTGAGTGAAAGAGGTTTAGAGATGGATAGAGCAAAAATGTGCCTCCAAATTTAGTAAAACAGATTAGATCTTTCTTGGGTCATGCAAGTTATTATAGAAAATTTATTTAAGATTTTTTAAAAATTTCTAAACCTCTCACCATGCTATTATCTAAAGATGTGCCTTTTAATTTTGATGAGAAATGTTTTGAGTCTTTTTCCAAAATAAAAAGATTACTTACTGAGGCACCCATTTTACAAGCTCTTGATTAGTCTCTTCCCTTTGAAATAATGTGTAATGCATCGAATTATGTAGTGGGGGCCGTTCTAGGATAAACAAAAGAGTCAAAACCCATAGTAATTTCATATGCTAGTAAAACTATATCTGATGCTCAATTAAATTATACCACGACTGAAAAAGAGTTGTTAGCTATAGTATTTTTGTTAGAAAGGTTTAAATCATATATTTTGAGAGCTGAAATTATTATTTATACTAATCATGCAGCATTAAAATATCTGTTAAATAAGAAAGATGCAAAGCCACATTTATTAAGATGGATTTTATTGTTGTAGGAATTTGACTTAGAAATAAAAGATAAAAAAGGTTTCGAGAATGTTGTTGCTGACCATCTTTATATATTAAGTGATACAAGAATAAAGACAGCACCTTTACAAGATGTATTTCCAGATGAACAATTGATGGCAGTTCAACATCAACCATCACCATGGTATGCACATATTATTAATTTTCTAGTTTCTAGAAAAACTCTAGAACAGTGGGATAAGA